TCCACTATCCAGTGGGCCAACCTCTGCTTGGAGACAGCCTTCCCTTTCTGCTGACCTCCAAAGCAGACAAGGAGCTGCTCAGAGCTTCTGAAGCTCTGGGTGTGGTCCACGTATATGCGTAACGCTCTTACGGGACACAGCAACACCAAGGCTGGATCTGCCTCCTCCGGGGGCAGCGCTTGCAGGTTCACCACCTGGTCCCGGAAGAGAGTTGTGGGAACCTTGGGCATGTATCCAGGCCGGGATCTCAGGACAATGTGAGAGTAGGCCGGCCCAAACACAAGGCACTCTTCACTTACCGAAAATGCTTGGAGGTCCCCGACCCTCGAGATGAAAGTGAGCACTGTCTTAAGAGACAGGAACTTCAGCTCAACTGAATCGAGCAGCTCAAAGTGACCCCTCTGAAGTCCAGCCAGGATAACAGAGAGATCCCAGGAGGGTATCAGGGGTGTCCTGGAAGGATTCAACCTTCTGGCACCCCTCGGGAACCTAACGATCAGGTCATGCTTTCCCAGGGACCGGCCGTCCACTGCATCATGATGTGCTGCGATGGCAGCAACATACACTTTCAAGGAGGAGGGTGACATCCTACACTCCAACCTTTCTTGCAGGAAAGAAAGCACAACTCTAATCTCCGGGGGTCTTCTCGGTGAGAAGAACACCAATTCGTGAACAGACTCCACTTAAAAAGCATAGGCCTGCCTCGTACAGGGAGCTCTAGCCTGAGTGATAATGTCTACCACCGCTGGTGGCAGATCACTTAGGTCTGCCACGTCCTGTCCAGGAGCCACACGTGGAGGTTCCAGAGATCTGGACATGGGTGCCATATGGTGCCCAGCCCCTGAGAAAGAAGGTACTTCCTCAGGGGGATGTGCCAGGGAGGGGCTGTCGCGAGGAGCATGAGTTCCAAAAACCAGGTCCGGGTGGGCCAGTAAGGCGCAACCAGCAGGACCTGTTCCTCGTCCTCCCTGACCTTGCACAGTGTCTGTGCGAGCAGGCTCACTTGGGGGAAACGCATACTTGCGTAGAGCCCGGGGCCAGCTGTGTGCCAGTGCATCTGTGGTCAGGGGGACCTGGGTCAGGGAATAGTACAGCTGGCAGTGGGAGGACTCGTGGGAAGCAAACAGGTCCACCTGAGCTTCCCCGAATCGACTCCAGATCAGCTGGACCATCTGGGGATGGAGTCGCCATTCTCTGGGGAAAGTGAGCTGTCGTGAGAGTGCGTCGACCGCACGATTGAGCTCCCCCAGAATGTGGATGGCACGCAGCGACTTGAGCCTGACTTCAGATGAGGAGATGGCGGGGGAGTTGCAACATGCATCGTGATCGTAGACCGCCCTGTCGGTTGATGTACGAAACGGTGCGGACCAACACGTGCTTGTCCAGCAGCAGCGGCCGAAACTGCCGCAAGTCTAGATGCACTGCCAAAAACTCCAGGCAGTTGATGTGCCAAAGCAGTCGAGGCCCTGTCCAGGACCCCAAGGCTGCCTCCCCGTTGCACGTAGCGTCCCAGCCCCTATTGGAGGCATCTGTCGTGACAATGACATGGCGGGACACTTGTTCTAAGGGCAACCCGGCCCGTAGAAACGCAAGGTCCGACCAGGGGCTGAATAGGCGGCGACACATCGGTGTGATGGTGACACGATGTGTACCATGGCGCCATGCCCATCTCGGGACTCGAGAGTGTAACCAGTGCTGAAGCAATCCGAGCGGCGTGACTGCGGCTGTGGATGCCATATGCCTCAGGAGCCTCTGAAAGTGTTTCAGTGGTACCACCGTCCTGCCTCTGAAGGAACTCAGGTAGTTCAGCACCGACTGGGCACGTTCGTTGGTGAGACGTGCCGTCATAATCACCGAATCTAACTCCATACCAAGAAAAGAGATTCCCTGCACAAGGGAGAGCTTGCTCTCCTCTCGGTTGACCTGAAGCCCCAACTGACTGAAGTGCCGAAGCACCAGGTCCCTGTGATCGCACAACTCCTCTCTTGACCGAGCCATGATGAGCCAGTCGTCGAGATAGTTAAGGATCCTGATGCCCACTTCCCATAGTGGGGCAAGGGTACCCGCCGCAACTTTTGTGAAGACACGGGGGGACAAGGAGAGCCCGACGGGGAGGACCTTGTACTGCCATGCGCGACCCTCAAACGCAAACTGCAGGAACAGTCTGTGACGAGGAAGGATCGAGACATGAAAGTACACGTCCTTCAGGTCGATCGCTGTAAACCAATCCTGGGCTTGAACGCATTTGATAATAAGTTTCTGCATCAACATCTTGAACGGGAGCTTGTGAAGAGCTCGATTCAAGACTCGCAGATCCAAGATAAGTCGAAGACCACTGCTTCTCTTGGGTACGATGAAGTAAGGGCTGTAAAACCCCTTCCTCGTCTCAGCTGGAGAAGACAGAGGCGTCTCGGACTGCCACCGAAGTCTCGAGAACGCCGTTGAACTTGGGAGGTGCCTGGCTAACTGAATTGCGTAGCCGAGTCGAACTGTCAAGTGAGCCAGCGGGACGGGTTGGGCAGCGCAAGCCACGCTCCCAAACTCTGTACGAGTGGCACCAAAGGGACAGTCGACGTACCCGCAGTGGTGCAGCGATGGATAGTTGTGCTGGGTGGCCCAGAAGGCACCGCGTTCTGAGTCATCACAGCAAAACTCCCCGTGTCCCTGGAGGGACTGGCCAGAGATGCGTGGAGAGGTGTTGCGTCTCTGAACTGCGATCTCTTGGCCACTGGCGATAGGGGGCATCGTGGGTGAGGGTGAGGAAGCGGTGCGTCGCTCACTGTCAACCCATGGGCCTTTCAACCCGGAGGAAAAGGAAACTGCTCTTTTTGAAACTGCTCGCCGTTGAGCCAGCGGCGGAACAAAAAGAAAAGGGAAAAAAAGACTCTCTGCCCGGCCCTCCTCCGGGGGAAGGAGCGGCGCTGTCCTCACCACCTCATGAAGAGCAGTCTCCCACATCTCCAGGTTGCCCGTATCAGGGCCGCTTCATCGTCTTCTTCGAGGACTTAGCGGCCGGGTGCGACACGGGGGGCGCCGCTCTCCTGAATGGGGCTCGACGCGCCGGCCTCGACGGTGTCTCAGCACGGGACGGAGCTGGTGTGGAGGACGCAGGAGGGCGCCCACGGTGACGAGCAGGCTGAGACACGGCCCGTGACAGAACGGTGGCAGCTGGAGGATCACGTCGGGGCAGGATGTGTTGGATGGCCTCAGTCTGCTTTTGTACTGCCGAGAACTGCTGGGCAAAGTCCTCGACAGTGCAGGCCAGCCTGGGAGATGGGAGCATCAAGAAAGCGTGCTTTGTCAACGTCTCTCATCTCAGCCAGGTTGAGCCAGAGATGGCGCTCCTGGACCACCAGAGTGGACATCGCCTTCCCGAGGGACCGCACCATGACTTTCGTTGCCCGGAGTGTGAAGTTAGTCACCGTGCACAGCTCCTGCATCAACCATGGGTCAGTACTACCCTCGTGCATTTGTTAAGGCCTTGGCTTGGTGAACTTGCAGGATAGCCATGACATGCAGGGCAAAGGCAGCTTGGCCCGTAACACTATAAGCTTTTGCAGTGAGAGCTGCCGACAGCTTACAGGCTTTGGACGGGAGATGAGGACAATTCCTCCAAGTGGCGGCATTTTGCGGCCACAGTTGCACCGCAACCGCTCTCTCCACCTGGGGAATGTCAACGCACCCTCTAGCCGCCCCGCCATCGAGGGTAGTAAGGATGGAGGAAGGAGACGAGCAGCTTCCGCACCGCCAACCAGAACAGCTTCCCGACACACAGCAGATGAATGGCTTTGTGGAGTATAACAGCTTTTCATACAACCACTCGGCTCCGAAGCAAAAATCTAATGAGTGGACGCATGCTGTCGCCTTATATACCCGTGTGCATGGGGAGTGGCTCAGCGTGCAAAATCCACTAGCCAATTTTCGTTGCCTTTTTCTCTTAAACTCAGAAATTATTGGGCTCCCGACAGATAGGGAAACAGCGTTACAAGCCATCTATCCCATGTAAATTTGAGTGCATTTTAGTTTTAAACAAAGTTTCATTCATCTTAACATGTTGTTCATCTTCTTTTCAGTACTTTGTTTAGTAATCTGTAGTTTGATGTATTTTGATTGCTCAAATAGAGTTTGGAAATCCAACTGATTTTAGTAAATTGGTTTGTTTGGATGGAAAGTCCCCTTGTATTTCAAATCCTTGTTTGTTTTCTTATTTGTAGTGAAACATTTTGTTAAATAGTATTTTATATGATTTTAATACTACTACTACTACTACTACTACCAATAATAATAATTATTATTATTATTTATTTGTATTTATTTATTAATTTATTTATGTATATTGTGCCAGATACTCTATCATTCAAAAGTTTGGGGTCGGTAGGATTTTTTAATGTTTTTGAAAGAAGTCTCTTTTGCTCATCAAGGCAGCAATTATTTGATCAAAAATAAAATAAAAACAATAATATTATGAAATATTATTACAATAGTTTCCTTTTTTGAATATATATGCAAATATAATTTATTCCTGTGATGCAAAGATGAATTTTCAGCATCATTACTCCAGTCTTCAGTGTCACATGATCCTTCAGAAATCATTCTAATATGCTGATTTGCTGCTCAAGAAACATTTCTGATTATTATCAATGTTGAAAACAGTCGTGCTCTTTAATATTTTTGTGGAAACCACAATAGATTTGTTTTTCAGGATCTTTTGATTAAAAGACATTTATTTGAAATAGAAATATTTTGTAACATTATAAGTGTCTTTACAAACACACTTGCTCTGTTTGTATCTAGATTAAAGACACATCTCTTCAGCCAAGCATTCACATAATGAATCTCAATCTCACCCTTGTTCCCATTTAGATCAGATAAAAGTCACAAACATATTTTTTGCTTGAAACGTTATGAACAGCAGCTACACTAATTCTTTTCTATCTGCCTTTATGTTCCTACCCTGGGAAGCCCATCTCGAGGTAACTAGAGATTACGCCAGCTCCAGCGAGGATCCAGCCTCATAGAAAGACTTCAGATGACCCAAACCTTTGAAGAGATGCTGCTGCCCACTGCGAGGACCACCGATGACGGCAACTTGAATCGATATGCACAGCTGCCAAATTTTCTCTATATTATAATCATTATGATCACACTTGTAATAAATGAGCTTCTGCCTGAAATTAATTCATGTTAGCTAACTGTATGATTCTATTACCTTGAACTGTTCATTTGTGAAATTGAGGGAAAAGCTCCGTGTATTGCGTGTAATCACATCCATACAGTTTATGATCACAACAACAACAACGTTTGTCAGGCGTCTACATTGTCATCTGAGGATATTACAAAGATTAAACCAGTGTGTTTTAAAAACTCTAAAACATGAAATGTGGCGTTATCGGCTTTTGCTATAAAACAAACTTTTAATATGTAAAAAAAAACATACTTTTAATTAACTTTAATTTTGTAAATTAACTGTATTTGTTTAGGTTATTATTACTTAATCAAAACAACCCAACTGCAGTTTGATTGATATTACTTGGAATGCGCAATAAAAAAAAAAACGTGATTTCTGAAAAAAAATTAAAAAGTTATCGGTTTTTGCAAATGAACTCTTCATATTTACCTGATTACCATCTCACCTGGGGAGCCCATTTGTTAAATGCAGCCAGTCGGTATGTTGAATTACAGTCTGCATGTCCAGTTTCTCCTGCTCACTCAGTCTCGCATCACCAAATCACTTCTCGCTCTTTTTGTTTTACATTCACATTATTTTGCCTAATACCCCCTTCTTCTCTCTGAAGGTTCAGTATATCAGCTATCCGTTCATCCTAAAGGAATGGGAGAGAAGGGGTTTACATGTGAGTGTCTATTTTGTCTTTCATTTTCTTGCTTTGGTTTTTCGGCTCCGTATCTGTTGTCTTGCAGTATCTTTGGCTTTATATTCTTCTACTTGCTCTCTGTTCCTCACCATCTGTGGGAGTGAAAGTATGCTGTCTGTCACAGTCCTATGATTTGCTGTTTTGCTTTGTGTTTTGCAGCACTTTATGTTCTGTGTGTTATTTCTCGACTCACATCCACACATACACATATGCTTTTGTCCCATTCTCTCACTCTTTTCCACACATTCACACACAGAGCTGAATGGAAACCTGAACGTCTCTGGAGTAAAGTCAGGCTCGGCTGAAGTCTGCATGCCGTTTGAAACAAGAGAACTCTTTCTGGTCTCGCAGTATGACCTGTAGCAACTTGGTAATTCTCTTTAAAGACAACATGAAATGAAAATTTATCCCATTTACTCTCTTTAGAAATTTGCAGGGCCTTATTTTTTCACAGCTGTGCAGGCTGCGTAAAAAGATAATCAAGATTAAAAAATCCAGATGTTATTTGAACCCCAGTGATAATAGGATTTGCAATTATATCTAAAATATATGTAGTGTGTGTGTGTGTGTGTGTGTGTGTGT